TTTTTATAATAACCAAATTCAACCAAATTTTAATCAGTTCTTCCTTAGCCGATGGGAAATGCATTCAAAAAATTTCGTACGGATATGTTTGGTATTTCTTGAGTTATCGTGCTCACAGACAAACACACACACATACACACACACACACACATACACACACACACACATACACACACACACATACACACACACACACACACATACAAACCCAGATGATTACATAACCTCCTGGCGGAGGTAACCAGATGATTACATAACCTCCTGGCGGAGGTAATAATTCAATTGTTCATGAAAATCCCTATCAGAGAAACAACGATTGGATCAAAGAAAGGCCACTACAATTGTTTTAAAAGATGGTTTTGAATTGCACGACAACAGTCAAACACCTAATGATACGGTTCTGGCATATCTGGGCGACGATACTGTCATAAAATCACGCGTATAAACTCGAGCAGTAAAAGAGGCTTTCCTTGGAGTCTACATCAAGAGGTATAGAAAAGATAACAAAAATCAGTATCCTTTTTATAAATCTATATTATACAATTAAACCAATTATATTGTATATATTACAATAAACTATCAGGCTTTTGAATATCAATAACATTACATATATTATTAGTAACACCTAGCTGGCCACTAGGTTCCTTTCTAATGTCAACAGATACCTGTAGTACTGTGAGAGCCAGTGTTTTAAACTGCTAAATGTTTTAATTTGCTTGCAGCATGACTACAACTTTGTTTGTTAAACTTTGTCCTGCCAGTTATATGAAGAGAAACAAATTCTCAAATATTTCATATCTAGAATGGTTGGTGTAATTCTATTAAAAATTACGGTCAGAAATAAATTTTCCATTGAATCTGTTTAGAACCATTGATTCAATCCTTTTAGAACCATTGGTTCCAATTTCTGTAACAGTAATTGTAGATATATAATCATTTAAAACGTTTTTCCTTCACTGATAAATTAACAGAGTGTTTTTTTATTAACCTACAGGAAAAGTGTATTGCTCATCAATTTTCTGACATTAAACATGATGAGATTGAATCAAATAGTATGAGTATATTCTATTATATATCTGATAAATCTAATGTATATACAGGGACGCCGGAAATGGGGGAGCAGGAGGGGCAGCCGCCCCCGTTGCCCTTTACCAGGAGGGGCAAGGGGGCAAAGGTGCCCTTCAATTTAAAGAATTGCCTTGGCGAAATAGCGAATTGTCAAAAATTTTAGTGCCATTCTTTTACGAATTTGCTTCAGAAAACGCAAGAAATGCAGTCATCTGGCTTCAAGAATAGCACAATCGCCTGGTGGAGAACCCCCTCACACCCCTATCATCTAATAAATAGAAAACATGATTAGGCGAAGTTCAACTCCCGATGTTTTGCAAACGTCTCTCAGTATATGTCAATTCAAAAGTGCCCTTTAACAAAAATCTGCCCCCCTTGCCTTCACATTGTTCCGGCGTCCCTATGTATATAATTATAATAAATTCTCCCAAGCCCCCCGCCAGCCACAAATAGGCCTCTGACTACATACAGTATGCGTTATTAACCCTTTAAGTGGCAATGCACTCTGATGCACCCTAATTCAGAATTTTACTCTGTCTAATGCCAGACAAGCATACTGAAGCATTCTTTCTCACTTCATTGATTTTTGTAATGGGTCACTCCAGAAAACATCCATACCACCTCCACAGAGGAAATAGGAAGCTAACCCCCCTACCCCCTTCGTATGATCCGTTCCCTGATCAACTCAAGGCAGCACATTTTATTTTAAGGAGGTTCTTTTAATATGTTCCAGGTAGGAAAACAGTAGAAAAGTTTGGTGATCCCAAAAAGGCGTCAATTTCCACTAACAATGTTGATTCTTATGCAAGGTGGAAAAGGAAAGTTCTGGCCACTTTCAACCGAAAATAGTGTATGGAATAACGAATGAATTAGATATTAATGAGTCTGATGATGAATCAGATTAAAAGACAAAACCTTTACTGTACACACATCCCACTTGTATTTCAATTATGTAGCAATAATTTTTTACAGTTGTAAAGGGTTGTTTTGTGGTAAATCATGGATAATAAAATAAATTTATTTTATTATCCGTGGTTAAATAGAGCATGTACATGTAATTTAACTTGAATTAATCTGCTATGACTATGTATGGACTCTCCATAATGATTTTTTTTTACTCTGAGTGGATATCCTCACCGGACAGGCTGAATTGTTTGCATGGTCATGCGGTGGGACAACTACCTTGTCCAATGTTCTGCCAACTGAGCTACGAGGCCAAGTCCGTTCAAGTGTTTGGTATTTCAGAACTAAGTCTAGTACCTTCAATACCAATGTGTTTTCAGAGCAGATCAAGAAACATTAAATTATTTTCACCTGAGTACATATGTAGCATCAAAACACATACACAAAAAAATATCAAGTCCATAATTATGTTTACATAAAACATCTATGAAATAATTCTGAAATAATGGATATAATTTGACTCGAGTGATAACAGTGTTACTGTTTTATCTCAAATATTGAATAGTATAAATCCTCACTGACACTGCATGTACTTTCGAACCGTTGAAAGAACAAATAATTGAAATATCCAACAGCAAAAGCAGACATCATGCATTTGTTAATAGAATGGATATTTTTGTCACTCAATTGAATTTATTAATTTGGTGATACTAAAAATAGATAGATAGATAGATAGACATATTAAGATTAATTTCATTTACCCCTGCCATCTGAAGCTGATGTCCACAGTGGCTGTGCAAAAATAGCAATACAATATTTAAAATTATTTTTAAAATATGTTATATGGTACATTGTTTCAGCAGTGTACACTCTACAGTGTCCAAATAGCAACATAACAATGTTGAAAGTATTTACAAAATATGTGATATATACAGTAGTGTAGGCTTTAATATTCCTTAGATAAAGTACAATATCCAAAGAAATAAAATTGAAATAGACCAGTTGAACTGTATGTTTGAAATTCACCATAATAAAAATGATGGCAGGTGTCAATTTTACCATAATGCTTTGTGACCCTGAATTGGTTATATGAACTGTAAGAACAGTTTATTTTATTAATACACCAGTCAAAGTAGACCCCCCCCCACCCCGGGCAAAGAGGGGACTTGGTGGGGATTTAGTGGCTTTTTGTCATCGAATTCTGTCCCAACCATGTCGGGAATTTGTTGGTTTTGTCATTCTGCCGAATTATGCCGGGAAGATAATGGGGATTGTTAGGGGATTGTCTGCGGCCATTTTGTACTATTTTGTACCGTTTTGTCCAATGGAATCCCCAGGTTCTACCATTTTATACCATGTATTTGCAAAGGACAAAATGGCATGCTCGTAAGGAAATGAAATCGGGAAGAATTTTATAAATATATTAATTTAATTTCTTTTCAATCTCTATGTTAATACCCGTTTAATAATATGTCCATCCTTCCATGGAATCTAATGTTGTGGAAAGCTCGACATTTGTTTGTTTATATTATTATTATGTTTTTTATCGTTCTTTTGAGTTTCAAATGGAACAAAATATTAATATTTTAAAATGTGGACGGTTTATGCGGCGCGCAGCCCGGAGATTGTCGGGGAGATATTATGCAGGAGATAAATTCATGCACACGACTTACAATTATCCCCCAGGGGGTGGGGCATTTTTTGTTTTTTGCTAGAAAATTTTGTCCCATATTGTGGGGCATTTGTCTGTTTTGGTACAGTATTCAAAGCCAATCCCCACCTATATCCCGGGGTGGGGGGTCGGGGTTTACTTTGACTGGTGCATAACATTGATAAAAGCTGTGATTATATCTTACAAATTTTATGGCCTTGATGCTGTATTTTCAAATATTTTCTTAAGATAAGTTTTCTTCTTGCAAAGAATTATGGTCATGCCCCCAACATTACGGTCGATTTACACTTTCTTCTGTAGAGGCTTTGTGTTTTAATTTGGTTTTTTTTCGAAGTTTGCAGGCAGAGCGTGGGACTTGAAAAAATCCAAAACAAAACACAAAGCCTCTACAGAGGAGAGTGGTCAATTTAAAAAGAGATATATTTAATAAATCTTAAAGTTTCTTCGCCAAACATACGTTTCATGGCCAAAGCTGAATTCTTCGTATCTTGCGGCACCATCTGTCGGTTGTGAACAGTGCGGAAATGATGCGCAAGTCCACTTTCTTTAAAAAAACGGAAGTTTTCCAGGCATTCAGCCATCGGACAAACAACTTTATTCGTCAGATACGCCTCGTGAAACGGCCTTGGAAATATTTCGTCCCTTTCTCGCTCTTCGATAACAGCGTCCGCCATTATAACGTCCGCCATCTTGAATTAGGATTTCCCAGTCGCTTCCCTCGCCGTCACATTCCCATCAATCACCGCGCGTTGGGTAATTCAACGCGCGCGTTACTGAAGCGACTGGGGACGAGTCAGCCATTTATATACGATATACTTCATGTAATTTAAACATTACGGCATTACGCCGACAGTTTCCGAATGCGTGACGATACTGTTTCTGGATATGGCACTGGGATATCATATGATGTAGATATCAAAAAATTTATAAATATGTTTGTAGCATAAAGAAAGCACGAGATTGAAACAGTTTAAATAAAATGCAAGCTAAATAAAGAAGTTTTGACATGATACAAAACAAGACAATTTCACTTACAAGGGTGACAAGGTAAATTATGGGATTATACTAGCCTATTCAGTTATACTGTATACATACATTGTGTGTTTCTACCCCCTACCTAGTCTCCCTCGCAGCCTGTTCGCGGGTATTCCCACTCACAGGCTGCTAGCTTTCGAACAACATTCCTTTCTGCCTGCTTAGGAATGCAGATTGGAATGTCCTATTAATAGTAACAGTATATGCAATCAGAATTTGGCGCGAAGCTGTAGTGAGTATTCGTCACGTGCATTGTCATTCTATTTTTAACTATTGTCGTATTGACTTCATTTATGTCTCTTATAAATATAAAAATAATAAAATGCAAGAAATTCCAAAAAAATTGGTAGAAAGACATCGTTGTTTTACGTGTTCGTTAGACACTTCGAAAAAAGTGAATATATTTGGCAAATCTTCAATAGATTTTGGTGATATCATAAGATCATGCCTTGGTGTTGATGTACATAGTTATTCTGCACAACCTGGCTTGTTTATTTGCAAACCCTTTTGCTACAAGAAACTTATAAAAGAAACTCAGCGCGCTTCTGAGCATTTGGAAGAAGTTAGGAAGGAAATACTAGAATCATTTCAGAACAGAGAACAGCCGAGAATTAAGCGACAAATCGTAGAGGAGTCGAGGACGCTGATAATTGTGATGAAAATCAAACTGTTCTCAATCGCGCGGCAAAATCACTAAAATTTGGAAACACCTCTGCAATTTCGTTGGGTTTATTCAACTCAATGAGTTGCCGCATATTATAACAGCACCAAAACATCTCACTTCGACCCCCATTTCTGAAGGAAATATCAGTTCTCGGGAACTGGCAGATTCGCCAACTGTTAAGTTGTCAGTGCGATACCCCAGCAAAACCCTCAACAAGACACTTTGCAAGAGTTTAAAGTCGATTGGAAAGACCTTGGCACATGGTAATCCATCACAAATCGCAAATGTTGTGATGAACTGCCCAACTGTTAAAGAATATCTGAATATGTACTCAAAAAAACGCTGTCACTTCTGAACAAAGAAGTCATAAGTTTGTGCTCTAAGAATAGCCCTTCAATGTTGAGAAAAACGAGTAAAGCAGATTTGGAAAAGTTCGATTTGGAGCTTCTATGTAATGAGTGGAGGGAAAAGGCGCCTTTATTTTACTCCTTCCTCATGACTGTTTTTGCGAATAAGAGGACCAAAGGGAGTCTGTGGTTCGGCAGTGTTGCTATAGCGAGATCTGTACTACTCAAACAGAAGAATGAGAAAATGAATGCTACAGCTGCAGTTCTTGGAATTATCATGAAAAGCAAATCAGTCGAAGTAAGTTTACAAGTTATGTAGCAACACAGCTGAGCTTTATTTATGAGTAATTTGTTTAATATTCTTCAGATTTACTCAGGAAATGTAGTTTATTGATCTAAGGTTTAATTGATATAACGTTTAACTTGAACAATATATTGGAACCGTTAGTTTACTGTATTCTGTAAGCCATGTATTATTGTATATTGATTACGTTTACTTTTTTATTGATTTTACAACAAAAAAATTTAAGGCTCAGCCACAGACAAAAGGAGTACATGATAAATAGAGTCCCCAATCAAGTCCTGCCTGACTCACCTGACACGAATACCCTGAACTACATTGTATCACTCTGACCTCAACAAATATACATAAAATATGTTTAGTGGTCTTATATTTAGAATAAATAAATCATTTTATACCTGCATAGCAATATTTAAGTGAAGGGTTTTCCCTGAGGGGGTTTCCCTCTTTAAGAATCGCAAATCGATCTCTGCAAATCGATATTACTTGGCAAAACGTTTATGTCCTTGTCTATGATGGGTTTATGAATTATGTGACAAATATTCATTATGTATTGCATGTGCGATGAATCACTATGGTTGAATTTTTTTGAATTTGTAGCACATTTTGAATTTATTTCTTTAGACTTTACTGAAAATAGTGAAGTGGAGTGAAGTGAAAGGCTTTATTTACTGAGGGTAAACATGTGACAGTAAGAAACTGATAAACTTGTGGCCCTCAAATAGATTTCGATATCTTTGAAAGTTGAAATAGACAAGCGTGTAACGCCTCTAAACTACAGCGCAGCACTACAAAAAATAAATTTTCTAAGAAACCACACCTCATTTACTTGATAGTTTACATTCATAATATTTGAAATATTAGGGGCTGACCATTAGAAATCCCGGGAGGGGGGGGGGGAATACAAATACTCATCTACCAGTAGGTCACCAAATACACTGTTAATAATGTTTAATATCTTTTTTGCATGTCTCTTGTCCCAAATTTTGACAGCACTACAAACATCAGACATGGTAAAAATCTGATCAATGTTAATATTCAAAGCTTGAGTTATCTGATGTTCAGAAAACCCTAACATGAGTAGAATGTTTGTTAAAGGTTTGATTTCTGCTTTTGCAGTTGTGTATTAGCAAGTTCAATAAGAAGTTTCTTCTGGTATTGTATCAGAGCATTCTCAATCAACTTCTTTTGCTCATTGCTAATTTCTCGTTTACTCCCACTAAACAGTACATCCTTGTAACAATCAGCGATTGGGTATTTTGTATACTGCCCACAGTCTGCTTGTCCACATTCACAAATAGATGCACAGTTGTCACAACAAATATGCAGATAAAGTGGCAATTTACAATCAGCTTCAAAATGATTCAGAAGATTTTTTCTCCTACAATCTTTAGTTTTGACAAATGATTTTATGTTCATGTCAACATGATTTAGAAGAATTCCATGATATAAAATGAATGTCCTGCTCTGCACCCCATCTCTTCCAGTGCATCCAGTCTCCTGTACATATGATTCGATGGTTTTTGATGGTCCATAATGTATGACACGATGAACTGCCTTACAGTCAACACCCATGCCAAAAGCAATAGTTGCAACTACAATTCGAATTGTTCCGTTTACATTTTGAAAAGATTCAAGGATACATTTTTTGTTATCTTCTGGGGTACAGGAGTGAAGCATTTCCACAAGAACACTCTTGTCTTCTCTGGCAAACATATAGTTCCCCAAAATTCCCTTAAGGGTGGCATATATAATAGAACATTGCTTGATTGTCTGGCAGTATATAATAGTCCTTTCACATTGCTTTTCTTTAGACTTTAACTCATCAGCTAGCCAAGTAAAATAAAACTCCAACTCTGTGTCCTTGTGCATACACTCCACAGCATATGATACATTCAGCTTATTTGGACTCTCTTCAATTTTAGAACAGTCATCCATGCATATAATACTCAAGATGCATTCTTTAGTCAGATGTATTGCTGTAGCTGTAAGGGCAATCACCGGAACATTTGGTGCTAATGACCTGAGTTCATATAACTTGCTGTATGCTTCACGGAATGCAGCCTTTTTGTTATCTTGTGATATCCCCCTGGGAAGTAAAAGTATATAAAAAATATTAAACCACTTCTATTTTTAGTCATGCATCAATACATTACTTATTAAGATTATTAATATACTACGATAAATTGATGATATAAATATTGAAAACATTTCAACATTTCGTAGTAAATACTAAACCAAAGTGAATGTATATCCCAACACCTACCTGAAGTGTTAAGGATTAACACATGGTTTGGAAACTGTCATTTTATAGGCATAAGCCATAGGGAACATTCATTTAGTATGCGGTAGTCTATGTATGCAATGTAGTATTAAATTATGCCCACTGCATATGTAGTAAATGAATGAGGTCCACAAGGTTTAATAATTGACTGCTGTACTTATAATATATTTAAATTGTATGTATATACAACAAGGCAAGGAAACTCAAATTCATTGTCATATTTGAGTCGTATATAAACAATATAAATATAAATTACATAATCAAACATAAAATTATTATATTAAACCGAATCAAACATTGTATTTACCATATTTTAGAACATGTTCTGATTTTCACTATATGAATCGATAAAATTAGTTAGCTTTATATCGCTTAAAATTATAAATTTTAACTAAACTCACCACTGTCTGATAACATGGGCCTCATCGACTGCTAGAGCACATAATCTTGTCGAATAATTAAGCTTATTTTTCACCTTGCTCGGTTTCCTTTGTTCTTAGCGGTGAATATATTCAATATTCCCCTCCAATCAATTTCCGTTTAATAATCCCCTCTAATATTCACCTGCAATTAATAATCCCCTCTAATATTCACCTGCAATGTCTTTGCAACACAAAAATTGAGGAGAAAAAACAACATAACGAAGGCAATATGGCATTAAGAATTATTTCTATTCTGACTCATTAACGCGACCTCGCAGTGTGAAAAATAAGTACGTTATTTTGAGGCACCTCGGGGACATGTGTTTATTCACCTCGGCGCTGCACGCCTCGGTGAATAAGTCACATATCCCCTCGTTTTGCCTCAAAATAACCTATACATATTTCTCCATCGAGGGTTCAGTATCCACGCTTCTGGCGTGCCATAAACGATAGAATATTCACCAACTTCGACACCATCGCAATCTTCTTCCATGCATGAGCTTATATTAACCGCGCTTACTCCCAGACTTGTAAGGTGTTCTACTTGATCATCCATGAGACTCAACAACGGGGAGACAACTGCCACAATTATATGACCTGGGTATCTGGACACCTCGTCTATTACAAACGGAAGTGCCTGGTACATGAGCGATTTTCCAAAGCCAGTGGGCAAATTTACAAACACGTCTTTCTTTTCAATAATTACTGTTCGAATCGCTGTTTTCTGATGCGGATTAAGGCAGCGAATGTTGAACTTGGGAGCAGCAATATCGAACGTTTTTTCCAGAGAAACCATATTGTTCAGTGATTTTCGGCTCAGAATACGTCTGAAACATTGATTGTGATTGGCTCTGTAATATGGCGGCAAAAAGTTCCGAAATATGGAACCTTGATTGTCATTGGCTAAGCAGGTAGAAAGGAATGTTGTTCGAAAGCTAGCAGCCTGTGAGTGGGAATACCCGCGAACAGGCTGCGAGGGAGACTACCCCCTACCCCTTGTGATTTTTTTTGAAATCAAATATTTATTATATTTTGCAATTTTAACTCGATATGTGTAGTGCATGCCCCTTAAGTAGAGTATATTAACTGTTTACAATATTTGTGGTGTATATAAATGTAGCTATGCAGGGTGTTAGCCAGAAAAAAAAAATTTGTCCGTTAAACGTAAATTGGAAAAGTTTTAACTGGACTTAGCTGAATATTTTTCCCAAAATTCTTGGCGAGAGGGGGGGTGGTCACCAAAAAAATTTTTCAGGAGATATCAAAGAAATATTCTGTAATTTCCGCCAAATCCGAAAAATTTTCCACAGAATATTGAAATTTTTAGGTTTTGACCAATTTCGCATTGATTTTTGCCCGACCGTTAAAATTTTTGGGGACACATGCTAATTTTCCAGTAGACCCAGTTGGGAAAGCCCTCAATTGGGAAGAGTCCGTCAAACGGACAGCATATGGGCTAGCTAACACCCTGCTATGACCCCCAAGATGAACCCCAATGGCTTCTAAATAGAGAATGGGTGAAAAGTTCATGAATATTGAGCTTTATATGTGAATCAGGTTAAATACAATAGTTAACCTAGCTTTATATAAAATGTACATACATGTTCTAATAATTGTATTTTGCTTCATACAATGCATATGTGTGTGGAAACATTACATTATTATTCAGCTCACTCCCCACATTGGGGCTTTTCAGTGATCGATTACATCAAGTACTATGATTACGTATGTTAGCCTAGACTATTTATCTTTACAACAATGAGGATATGATATTACTTTTCTAACTGTGTTTATCCTAACACACCCTGCCAATTTTGCCCTGTGGGAGGAAACCGGAGCAAAATATAGAATTCAATTCCTTTGAAAACACCTAAGGGACCGGTCATTATTTATGGTTGGGGGTGGCACCGAAGAGAAAAGGGTTGGGTAAACAAAATTTTGAGTAAATAAAAGGTTGGGTAAGTGAAAAACAAAACAACTCAAGAGTGAGTTGGGTAATAAAAAAATATTGTCATTTCCAAAGCATGACTCACTGAAATATTGGAGACTAAAAAGCAATGTCAACAATCATATGTCAATACAATATGTGAATCAAGTCACTATCTTCATCATTTTCTGATTTGTCAGGAGACAAATGGTGTCTCCAAAGAAACAATATGTGCAGACAGTATGAAAGTTTAGATTGCAGAAAATTTCACAAGCTGTTATCAAACTCATGTCACAGAAGTGGCAATTATAAGGACATGTGTGACAACTGAATGGTATCCTTTTGTAAAGGTTTTGGCCAGGGGTGGGTATTTATTTTTTAATTGATATTTGAGGTTGGGTAGTCAAATTTTTGACTTTTTAATGGTTGGGTCAGCAAAAGTTTTCCCACAAAAAACATTTCTCTTCGGTGCCAACCCCCACCATAAATAATGACCGGTCCCTAAATTGCAATCCCTAAAATTTAAAATTTTTTCTTAAATCGCCTAAAATCGCACTAAATCGCAGTGCTTGAAAGTCCCAGTTTTTCCTTAAATCGCCTAAAATCGCCCTAAAATCGCCTAAAATCGCAGCGATTTAAGGCGATTTACCGCCCCAGAGTAGGCCTTCAAGTCACTTAAATACAATTATTCAAGTGGAAATGAATAAAGACAGTTGCTGAATGGCTACATGTGAATAAATTTACTGATTTTATTTATAGGTCATCAAGTAAGAGACCAAAACATAAGATAAGAATAAACCTAAACAATAAAAATATAGAACAAGCTAAAAGTACAACCTTTAATTCTTGGTATTATTATTGATGAATGTCTGACCTGGAAAGACCATATAGCTCAGGTAGCAAAAAAATCATAAGAACTGCTGGCATAATAGCAAAAATTAGACATTTCGTAACCCGAAATACAGGAAAATTAATTTACTATGCATTAGTCTATCCATATCTTATCTACGGCAACTTGATTTTGGTTATACTGGCTACAAAACCCGAATACAAAATATAATGATATACAGAAAAAATTGTTCGACTGATAACATTTAAATCGTATGTGGAATGAGCCTATTTTCAAAGAATTAGACATCCTAGATACTTTCAAAATAAATGATTATTTAACTACCATGTTTATGTTTCGTTACCACCATCTTAAGAATCTACCAGAAGTTTTTGAAAATTATTTTGTAACAAATAATCAGATCCATCAATACAACACGAGAAATGCATCAAAACGCTAGAAGTGATAAGAGAACAAACTATGTAAAAGTAAAACAAAGTATATCTAATAAAGGAATCGATATTTGGAATGCATTAGAACCAAAATTTAAACGCACAAACTTCTACAATGTCTTCAAGAAGAAAATGAAACAGTATTTTTTACTAAATCCTGTATAAAATTATATGGTTTTCATATTTTATTGATATTTTAACATAAATCTTATATTGTAATACTGCTGCTTTATCATCCTTCTTTTGTAAATAGCATATATTCTAAAATTATGTAAATAGCATATATTTTTTCATTATCTTTAATTGTAAATATATTAATTAACCTCATTATGGACCACAACTAGGGGCCTAAACCAAAAAGCCTGTAAAGCCTTCTAGTGGGTCCCTAGCCCAATATCATATTGTAATGATTAAAATCTGTACTTAGGGGAAAATAATAAATAAAATACATTTTTTGTGTGTGTTTTGATGTCATGTACCAAGTCTGTTCGAGTGTGTGGTATTTCGGAACTAAGTCTAGCACCTTCGATACCAATGTATTCTATGATCATGATATTTTTTTTCAAAACACAACGAGCAGACTTGGCCTCATTGCTCAGTTGGCAGAGCATTGGACCAGTATCCCAATGGTCGCGGGTTCGATTCCCACCGTGGTCAGGCTAACGTTTCAGCTTGCCCGGTGTGAATATACACTCAGAGTAACATCAAAAACAATATATTCACCTGAGTACATCAAAACGCACACAAAAAATATCATGATCATTGAACACATTGGTATCGAAGGTGCTAGACTTAGTTCCGAAATACCATACACTCGAACAGACTTGGCCTCGTAGCTCAGTTGACAGAGCATTGGACTAGTGTCCCAAAAGTCGCGGGTTTGATTCCCACCGTGGTCAGGCTAACTTTCTAGCCTGCCCGGTGTGGATACTCAGAGTAACATCAAAAACAAAATGAAATACAGTTTTAAAAGTGGCATTCGTAGCACAACCTGGGGCCGTTTAGCGATCTACAAAACATGTAAAACAGCCAGCTTTATAGGTACCATAAGTTTTAGAATTTAGATTTCGTGACGCCAAGTCTGTAGTTAAACTGAAGCCGCGCGCGTCAGATACCGGTTTTATATAGTAGTCAGCGACTCGAACAGAACAAAGTCAAACACAAACAGTGTACAGGCCACTTGAAACTAATTTCAAGAAAAGCAAATAGCAATATTAAAAATAATGCTCATGCTCTGCTATTCTTTAATTTCTTCCCCTCGGCCTCGCAATCCACGCTTTTTTTCGACTTGCCAATTCGAACCATCTTTTTCAACTGCCGTCGGATCTATTTTCTCAGTTTCATTGCAATCTACTGTACGTACTTCTTAAAGTTTTGTTAACTTGCGATCAACATTTCCAACTTGCTATCTACCTCTCATATTTCGGCCCCAAATTTTCGGGATCTACGTTTTTCATGTAACTCACGATCTATCAGTTTAGTTCATTTTCAGCTCACATTCCTCGCAATCTATTTTTTGTTTTCACGCGAATTCTGATGTGACTCTCATTCTGACTGACACTGATTGAATCTCTTCACAAAATTGACAGAATTTGTCCCATTTATTTTTATAATAAGCCAATATTGCCCGCCTGTGAAGCAAATATTGCCCGACTGGCTTTGTTTGCCCAACAAACTGGGGGCTGCCGTTGTTTACATATGGTTCAACAATTCCATTGAACATCTTGGGGACAATAACTGTCAAAGTTGAACGCAATGGAAAGCAAATTCTTGCCCAGTTTGTAGTAGTCAACAACCGAGGAACGGGGTGCCTTTTGGGTCATAAATCTGCTACAGAACTAGACCTTCTGCATGTTGCCAACTCGGTTTCCATACAGTCTGAAGACATTTCTTCAAAAATTTCTGCTAAGTTTCCCAAAGTCTTTGAAGGTGTGGGCAAACTAAAAGATTTTCAACAAACCATCCATGTTGATCCCAAAATTCATCCTGTTGCCCAAGCACCCCGCCGTGTCCCATTTCATGTTCGCCGCAAAGTAGAAGCCAAACTAGACGAGCTACAGCGCTTAGACATCATTGAGCCAGTCACTAGGCCAACACTATGGGTGTCCCCCTTGGTTGTAGTGCCCAAGCCAAATGGGGAGGTCCATATCTGTGTAGATATGCGTCGAGTCAACACAGCAGTGATCAGAGAAAGGTACCCAATTCCCACTGTAGAGGAGATTTTACAGGATTTAACTGGTGCATGTGTCTTCTCAAAACTCGACTTAAGATGGGGGTACCATCAGATTGAACTTGACGAACAATCAAGGCATTATACAACATTTGCTACACACACCGGTCTCTATCGCTACAAGCGCTTTATGTTTGGTGTTTCTGCGGCACCAGAAATATACCAACATGTGATTCAACAATCTCTCCAAGGGTGCCCTGGGATGCGAAACATCTCAGATGACATAACTGTTTTTGGGAAAACCCAACAGGAACATGATCATAACCTTAACACTGTCTTAGCAACACTCTAAGAGTGTGGTCTGACTCTCAATAGAGACAAATGCAAATTTAGTGTTTCTGAAGTCACATTTTTTGGGTATACCATTTCGGCAAATGGTATACGACCCACCGATGAGACTGTGGCTGCCATTCGAAATGCCCCAAAGCCATCCAATGCCTCAGAGGTCAGAAGTTTCTTGGGTCTTGTGAACTACTGCAGCCGGTTTATCCCAAATTTCTCCACCGTAGCAGCCCCACTTCGACAGCTCACACACAAAGGTGTACCATTTACATGGACCAACTCCACCAAAATGCATTCGAATCCTTGCAGAAAACTCTTTCTAGCAATTCCGTCATGGCACATTTTGATCCCAGTGCCCCCACTCAGCTTCGTGTTGACGCCAGTCCATTTGGCCTGGGGGCTATATTAACCCAAACTCATGGCGATGAAACCAGACCAGTAGCCTATGCAAGTCGCACTCTTACAGCCGTTGAGAGGCGTTATTTTCAGACTGAGCGTGAGGCCTTGGCGGTTGTCTGGGGATGTGAACGGTTCCACCTCTATCTATATGGGACAACCTTTGACATCTCTACAGATCACAAGCCTCTTGAAATAAATTTTGCATTAAGTATTCACCTGGAATTGGTAATCCTGCGGATGTACTCTCTCGTTTGCCACTTCCCAATGCAACAACCAATACTCGCAACATGGCTGAAGAATATGTCCAGTTTGTCGCTCAGAATGCAGCTCCCAAGGCCCTGTCTCTTAGTACAATAAAAGAAGCTACCAACCAAGATCCAGTTCTTCAATTTCTTCGCGAGTGTATCATGAAGAACAATTGGCCCAAGGTTAGTATGACACGTCCATATCATGGTATCAGACACGAACTGACTGTTATTGATGACATTATCCTTCGCGAGTCCCGTATCTTGATGCCAACGTCTCTCCGAGAACGAACGTTGAAACTAGTCCACGAAGGGCATCAGGGCATCGTGAAGACAAAACGACTGCTAAGAGAAAAGGTCTGGTGGCCTGGTATTGATCAAGCCATAGAACAGCTAATTCGTACGTGCATTGCATGCCAAGCCCAAGGTCCAGTGTCCACACCACCGCCCCTTCACATGACGACTATGCCAAGTCAGCCATGGCAAACTCTACATGCCACTCTGTGCGGACCGTTTCCCAGTGGAAAAAGTCTTCTTGTCATGGTAGATACCTGCTCCCGTTGGCCAGAAGTACATGTTATGAAGAGTACTACGTCCACAGCTATCATAAAATGCATGAAGACCACATTTGCAACCCATGGAATCCCGCACGAAATTGTTACTGACAATGGACCACAATTCACCTCCGCTGAGTTTGGTACATACCTTTCCAATTGTGGTATTGTACACCGTAAAGTCACACCCTATTGGCCCCAGGCAAACTCCGAAGTAGAACGTTTTAACCGAACTGTAGAAAAAGCAATACGTGCGGCGAACGTCGAAGGGAAAAATTGGAAAGAAGAACTTGATGTTTTCCCACTGAATTATCGTTCAACTCCCCACTGTACAACGGGGAAACCACCTGCAGTTCTCCTTTTTGGCCGTAACATTAGAAATAAAATACCCGTGCCACCAACATCGACACCAGCTGATGACATACCAATAACAGTTCGTCAACATGATCGCGAAAGAAAAGAGAAAATAAATTCTTACGCTGATGACCACAACCGAGCTTCATCGTCCGACGTGAAAAAGGGAGATACGGTGCTTCTCTGTCAACCTCGGCAAACAAAATTGTCGACGACCTATGATCCGAAGCCGTACATTGTCGAAGAAAAGAAAGGGCCCAGTGTGCTACTGAAACGACCCTTTGAACGACAGATTATGAGAAATGAAAGTATGATACGTAAGATTCCTGATGGAAAAGACGTCGCGGATGCTAAGAAAAGAGGACTCCAAAATTGCGGACAACAGGTCAGCGAAGAGAAGAAACATGAAAAGCAGAACGAGGTCAGTAAAAGACCAAAACGGGTTAGACAGCCACCGGACTATTACGGACAGAGCTGATTGAACTTAACAATAATATTCGTTTATATTAATATAACTGATTTCTTTATATTTAATAGTCCAATAAGACTGGTTGTGTTTCGTAAATATTAGACAAGTGCATTGACAGTATCCATATAGTGTCCTGTGACGTAAGTAGTAACGACAGGAACACTGAGGACATTAATGATGCTTGGGGGGTATTATGGGTACTGGGTAGTTCTAGTTTGCACGTTGTTTAGAAACGCAGAGTGAGAATATATGAACGATATTGTGCGTGTTTTATACACTATACTCTTCGTTGCGAGTTTATGACGAATAAATAGTAAAAACGTTTTAAAACGTTTTCTTACTGGTTCTTACCAATAGTAAAAACAGTTAGATTATCAACAATTGGTTACCTCGGATACCTTGGATACCTCGGATACCTCAGATACCTTGGATACCTCGGATACCTCAGATACCTTGGATACCTCGGATACCTTGGATACCTCGGATACCTTGGATACCTCCGATACCAATTGGATACCTCAGATACCTTGGATACCTCGGATACCTCAGATACCTCGGATACCTCAGATACCTCGGATACCTTGGATACCTCCGATACCTTGGATACCAGTCAGACACCTTGGATACCTCACATACCTCGGATGCCTAAGATACCTTGGATACCTTGGGTAACTTGGATACCTCGGATACCTCAGATACCTCGGATACCTTGGATAACTTGGGTCCTCCAGATACCTTCAGTACCTTGGATACCTCGGATAATTTGGGTATATTTACGGTATATTATTTTTATTTAATTTACGGTATATTATAATACCTGAGACTATCTTAGTTTAAAGTAGCCGCCGGCCTTTTTAAAATAACAGACTTGCCTCAACTATTAATATTTAATACTTAATATTAAACTGGCACAATTAATTTTAAACACTCATTTATTGGTTTACAAAATAAGTTTAATTTTGGAATTAGCCAATCAGAAGCTCTGTTCATATAGGTTGGTGATGACCCCGAATTTTCCGTAGATATCTTTAAATTGAATCTTTCGACAAAGCTACAACATGACACTTCGAATGAGCGCGCGCTCGGAAAGATTTTACCACTCGTCAAATATTAATGATATTCCGACTAATGGAGCGCCCCTGACTTTTGTAAATCGGTCAGAACTCCCCACAGATCAGTCAAAATCGAAAAAAATCGCTTCTTTCCATGGCAATAAGCGTCTAGACCAATCAGAACACTGACTTTTTGACTGACCGATTTTGCGTATGTCAGCTGCTCATTGACTTGACTAAGCTCGTCGGCTCAACCACTGTATGAAATATGATCACTGGACTACAGTTCGATTGGAATGTTAATTGCTAGCGCTGCATGATAATAGATACTGGACTATTATAAGGTGTCGCTGCATGATAAAAAATATCTGGACTATTGGTCGAATATTTAAGACTTTAATTAAGTTTGCAATTTTTAGGTGAGTCGCGTGATCCGCCCCTGATTCGGACAGTATATAAAATAAAACTGAATCAACGTACTGAAACAAGAAAACAAAACTCGCAGTCTTTGCTATTGCCTTCGCATAAAGAAGCCAAAAATCTTTTAAAGAAATATCGATAAGTAGATAGCAAACTCTTCACTGTGGGAAAACGAAGTATTGCAACGATTGGACGAGAAAAACTCCAAAATGTAAACATGAACGAAAAACCTTTATTGCAAGTTATTATTTATTTAAAAAAATTCCTGGTTTCTGATTGGCTAACACCAAACCGTGAAATTGATATATCAACTCAAAGGCTAACCAAATATGGATTTTTCACATTCATATTAGCAAGAGTCAATATGAAAAAAATTTGGGCGCGTTTGCGCCATATTACTATGACGACGAGAATCATATTGACTCGCTGACGGCATTGATATGACGATGACGACGGCTGCCGAAGGACTAAGGCAGTGACTAAGGAATTGTTTTTTTCTTCTTAATACAAATAAAATACAAATGGCTTCCGTTTGTTTTGAATTTTTTAAATAAATAATAAAACAATTATTGAATTCAGTTTTCGCACAATATGAAGAATTAATTATCAAGCCCTCAGTTTGCCGTTATCAACCTCAGCCTTCGGCTTCGGTCGATAACGGCAAACTTCGGGCTTGATAATTCTTCATATCGTGCTCAACCTCAGTCAATAATTGCTAATTGATAGTTCAAAGGTTAGTGGAATTCACAAGTTATACGAAGATATTACAACACAAGTTTACAAATACCTAGCAACAGCTGACGTAGAGATAAGAAATTTCAGGAAAATCCGGTTTTCTCCATTTAAAATTAAGGTTATCCGACGGATAGTTATCCACCCTGCTATCCGTGCTTCGTACAACGCATTTTTATTCGGCAGATAGCTATCCATTGGATAGGAGATTTATCCATTGGATAGGACTTATCCATTGGATAACTTATCCATCTTTCGTACAACCGGCCCCAGGAATTTCTGTTTTCGTTTTTCTGGGACCGGTTGTACGAAAGGTGGATAAGTTTTTGCCGTGTGGAAGTGACTACCGCCCTTTCCATGAGCCTCCGAAATTCCCACCCACTAAGTGCTCCTTCCTACTCATGCGTCGACATCTATATCTGGAAATTCTGCTATAGAAAGATGTGAAATGTCACATTGACTATAAGTGATTATAAAGCAAACGTTTTTTACCTTCGGAGTACCCGAATTAGCAGTTGACTCAGCCGTTACCCGCATGTGAAAGTAACCGGATGTTATGTTACTATGCTATAAATTAACAGTAAATGTAGTGTTCTTCGATATTGATTGTGTTTTTAATATCATGTCCAAAACAACTGTCATGCCTCCTGGTGATGACCCCAAAGCATCATGGGTCATACACTACATCTCTCCCCACGTAAACATTGTTAACAAAATATAAATGTTTTTATGGCGTCCATCATATGTTCGCACCATATACATAACAAGTACTATTTTAATTATCAAGTCCTAACCTATTTGGTTGATGGGTCATTCCATGTGAAATCAACAAATAAAAATTCAGAATGACACCCACTCAACTCAGATTTTAACCAAAATTGCACCAACTGGAGGTATTAGTGGGATATGAAAGCACACCAAATTTTATCCCAATATCTTTATTTTTGCCTGAGATATTGGCATTTCAAGTTTTGCACCAAAACCGGTGTCGGTTACAGTAATTTAGCGTTTTGTATTAATGGTACACAAAAATGCATGGTATTTTGACTGTCGTTCTTTGTCGTTTAACCCTATGGGCAGGAAAACTGGTGATCTACCATTTTAAGACATTGGGAATTAGAATATGATGTCAAAAGTACCATCACTTGATCACAAGTCACTCTCCTCCGCAGAGTCTGAATTATATAGGATTTGTAGGGATAGTAGAGGATATTTAGTGGTGCGCGACGGGCGGGGGGGGGGTTGAGATCAATGGTTGACAAAATGTACGTACAGCTTACGTAGCTTCCGTCTTCCCATCATACCTTGCGTAATTTGTCCCCCCCCCTTAATATTACGCAATTTTACTAAAAATTCGTAAGGCTCTGCGGAGGAGAGTGATCACAAGTGCTCATTTTCTATGTTTGAAAACAGACAACTAAAGTATAGATATTCCGAAACTGGAAAAAAGTATCAAATTACAAATTGAAAATTTTCCTTGTTGACCATGTAGCACCAAAACCATTTTTGGTGTGTTACATCGATATATAATAAGGATTGCTTTCACCAAGTTTTGGCTTGGTGTCTCTTCTATTTGCTGAAAAATAAGCTAACAAACATACTAAAGACATTTCTTGGAAATTCTTGAATAATATAGAGAGAACCGATGTCGTTTTAGAAATTTTAAAAACCAAGAACTTGTTCAGCACTGTCAGTATCTTATTTAATAGTTCATTTACTTAAATTAAATGTTATATGCTACCTCTGAGTTATTCAGCAAGCGTTTGTTCAATTATGTTGATGTCTTTGTCATCCAGCTTGTACTGTCTCCCTGTTACAGTGACAGGTGCCCCAATGATGCAGGCAACATTCACAATTGGCACAAAACATGTACCATCTTTCTTTGGCCAGGAGAAAGATCTTGCTGGGTAGCTTGGATGCATGAATTTGACTTTAACATCATCATGTTCTTTATCCATTACATCAACGAGTCCAATCCAATCCAGCAAACAACAAAGTCGGATACCTTTGGATCTACCAGCTTCACTAGGTTTGTCTTTCCCAACACCAGATTAAACTCTAATGCATATGATTCATCTTCTGAAACACGTTTGGCTGCCATTACACTCTCAGAGAGGGGGACAAATTGATGAAAGCTCCTTGTGCCAGGGAGAATACTTGCACTGCTGAATCTTTTCTCCAACATGCTCCTGACAGGAACCATCTCTTCTGCTGAAATAAAGTTAACATGAACCCCCTTGATTTCTTCTTTACAGTACTCAAAAACTTGCTTTGCAGTCAAAATTGGACGTGAGTGTGTCCTCTGTAGACTTGCTCTTGCTGTTAATCGCTTCAGTGTACCTCCAAGTCCATCGCACGGAGATTTGCCATGGCTTGTAGCGAAGAATGACCAATCACATTTCACATTGAAGTCCTTTTCGTGAAGGCACAAGTTGATTAAATTCTTGTAGTTCTTGTATTGTCCAGCACAGCCATCACTAAAGTAATGTATCATACTCAGTGTTTTAAAAATCTCCTCCTTAACATGTTTTACAGTTTTCTTTAAAACTTCATAGACAAAACATGTGTCATGATTCAAATCATCCGAGATGAAACAAAGAGATTTCTCTGTAAGTTTATTTTCTTTGATATAGTACAAGACAGTTGGATGTGGGATACACGACTGCTTATTCCAGTGAAATCCTTGGATTTCATCTTGAATTATAGATTGATAATTCTCTGCAAAATCTTCCAAAACAATCACCTCATTCTCTTTCAGTTCCTCCTTACACTTCTTGAGATACCTTGCCTGAGATTTTGCAATGTAAGAATGAGCTGTGAGAGTGTTAAGTTTCACTACAAGGATGGAAATGAAATCTGCAACCGGAAGGATCTGCTCGACTAACTCTGAGCGGTCGACAGTTGTCCATTGTTGGAATTGTATGGTGAGTGGTTCATCTTCCTCATCCTCATCAATTTCAGGTTGGAGTTGTTGAAACAAGTAGTTGTCCAGATCTTGAGTGTCAGCTGGGCAGTTGGGGAAACGGTGAATCATACACTCTTTGGAATCTCTGCTGCACACCATCATGTCCATAAGCTCATGGTGATTTTTGTCAAGGTTTACTGCACCAAGCATCAGAACTACATTTTGATGAATGGTACACACACAAACTGAATGGGTACCTGAACATCCAATTTTGGTTTCAGACTGCAAAACTTTGAAAATCCTACTTTTAGATCAGGATATTACTGTTTGAATGCAGCATATAGTTCTTTTAAGTCACAAAGCTAGCAACAGCCTTTTCTGCTTGTGAACATTTCTTGCAATGCTAACACAATCCTTTTTGCCTGGCATAAGTCTACTGTACTCATCGTCGCAATAAAAATCAACAACACATCTTTTTGTTTCTTCAGATAAAGCTTTTCCTTTCTTTGGTCCTGGTAACTCCAAAATACCCCTTTCTTTCACTAATTTTCTTGCCTGCCTGACCATGTAAGCAGAAACGTTAAATTCATTTTTAGTTTTTTCAATGGACCAAGAAGGTGGAGCAATAGTCAGTATTTGTATTTTCTGTCTTCTGTTAGAGGATTGCATCTTGTTTTTCATGAGATCAACAAGTCAGTCTAAATTATCCGCTTTTTCCTTTATTTCTTTGTAATTGTCAGGTTGACTGTTCTCTGATAGTTCCTAGATCTTCTGGCATAACATCAATAACTTTGGCAACTCGTTTGTGAATTGTAGTTTCTTGATCTTTCAGTTTATCGTGAAATTGCTGTAGTTTGCGTTTACCTAAAGTGACTTTGGAATGAGAAGCAACACCGTGTAGCTTCACTGGACTCAAACCCATCTCTTCTCAAATTCATTAATAATTCATGAGTAATTCAGCCAATGATAATCACCTATTTGATCACAAGATGCCATTTGGATAACCCGGTGAAACTTGATGAAAGTCACTAGTGTTTTCATCAAATATCTTAATTACGCATGCAAAATTACTTGAATAGAATTCCTAATTACGTTATGCTTGGTTAAGAATTCTATTCAAATCAGCAAACGGAAACATTCTGTTACGTCTCGATTCATTTGAGAAGCCATATAAACAACTCGAGCTCGTGTCTCACCGGGATATCCAAACACTCGAAAACAATGTATGAAAACACTCGCGCTTCGCGCTCGTGTTCTCATACATTGTTTTCTCGTGTTTGGATATCCCGGTGAAACACTCGCTCTCGTTGTTCATATATTACTTCAAAACTTGTGTCAAGGTCATGCCTCAAGGTCATTCCTTCATTGCTCCCAGAAGACATAGTTTCTACATCAGTTTCGTTTCCTACATGTGAATCAGATTCATCTACAAACTGCTGATCCTTCTTATTCGATGCGGCCTCCAAGTTGCTAGTAAGTTCTTTGCGACAATTTGGGCATATCTTTTTTCCAGGAATTACTGAAATATTTACGCTATTAAAATCTTCAGCAGTGTTCAAAGACACTTCTCGCAGTGAACCCTTTATTGGTTTTTGGTGTTTTTCAAATGGGTTGCAGCAGTATCTTTGGTACTGTGAATATCTTGTAAGAACTGTCTGCTCATGATGCAGACAAATTTCATGTTCAGGACTGTTTGAAATTCCTGTTCTCATTGATATTAATTTGACCTGCTCTGCTGTTAAAATGCTGAATGATTTTAGGCCGGTTAACCTTGTATGAACACGTAAATGGCACTCTTCTTCCAGGTGGTTTCCAATGGAACAATCCTGAAATTTTTCTGTTGAAGACATCCTTCTCTTTAGAGTAATAGAGTTTGAGAAAATTTGAGCAATGAAAAGTTTGTATTTAAACTTAGGATATATTTCATGTATGCAAAGTATTGTGTACCATCATATTTTCTTCCAATGAAATATAGCAATTAAAAACCTAAACTTCTGTTTTAAAGACCAATGTTTGTCATAGATTTTGCTTAGATTGATGTGTCTCAGAGGTCTGATAGGCAAATGCTCTTTCATACTTAATTATACATAATGATATCAACACAACATGAAATATTTGAACATAATGCACTGGTTTTATACAATGATTGTATATCTGATGTACTATATAAACCGAATGGTAAAGGTAAAGTATACCATAGTTTCCACCATATTTGATAAGAATTTCCAAGAAATGTCTTTAGCATCTTTGTTGGCTTATTTTTCAGCAAATAGAGGAGACACCAAGCCAAAACTTGGTGAAAGTAATCCTTATTATATATACATGTAACACACCAAAAATGGTCCTGGTGCTACGTAGTCAACATGGAAAATTTTTAGTTTGTAATTTGATACTTGTTTCCAGTTTCGGAATATCTATATTTTAGTTGTCTGTTTTCAAACATAGAAAATGAGCACTTGTGATCAAGTGATGGTACTTTTGACATCATATTCTAATTCCCCATGTCTTAAATGGTAGATCACCAGCTTTCCTGCCCATAGGGTTAAACGACAAAGAACGACAGTCAAAATACCATGCATTTTTGTGTACCATTAATACAAAACGCTATAGATTACTGTAACCGACACCGGTTTTGGTGCAAAACTTGAAATGCCAATATCTCAGGCAAAAATAAAGATATTGGGATAAAATTTGGTGCGCTTTCATATCTCACTAATACCTCCAGTTGGTGCAATTTTGGTTAAAATCTGAGATGAGTGGGTGTCATGCCCTTGTTGAGTCGATAATGCCGAATTCTGACAGGATATCGTTGTTCAGGTTGTTCTACTTCATCCATTTCTTGATTTGGTTCTAAAGTCTCCTGTTGGTCTTGTATGCATGTCCACAGCTGTTTCGTCTTCAGCATTATTTTCATTGGCCAAGTCTGGAATATATATAACTGGTTCGAGATCTTGAGTGAGTGTCGTTTATGTTCTCCGAGGCAAGTAATTGATCGACGTGTCTCCTCCAGATAACATTTGGTGCAATTTCGACCTGGTATGACACTGGTCCGGTTCGAGCACGCATAATTCCTTGAATCCACTTTTCCTTCCCTCTGTAATTTCTGACACTAACTGCCTGCCCAATGAATAGTTGACGTACATTACCAGCAATAGCACCTTTGGGTTTGGCTTGGCTGACTTGTTTCTCTATAACATGCTTTCGAATATCCGGTTTGATCAAGTCTACTATGAACAGTGTGCGTAAATTTCGTCCCATGAAGAGAGTTGCTGGTGTTTCACCAGTCGTGCTGTGTGCTGTGTGCTGTGTTTCTATATTTCATTAGGAATTTGGATAGTTTGGTCTGCGTGGAGCCATGATCTTCCTTCATTGAAGTCAAAGATTGTTTCATGGTTTGAATGAATCTTTCTGCTAAGCCGTTAGTGGCTGGATGATATGGTGCTGAAGTTACGTGTTTAACTCCGTTTTTCTTTAGAAATAGCTGGAATTCTTCTGGGGCCGGTTGTAGAAAAAACGTCGTTAACTTTAACTATGATTAGCGTTAATCACTGTAGTTAAATCCTTAACTGTGATTAGTTAACTACACGACTTAATTGCGTTGCACAAAACGTAGCTTGTAGGATGATTAACTAATCACGTAGTTAACTTACGTGGGGCTTGCGCGGGGCGTTTTAAACACAAAATTACATAAAGTAAGCAGCGATTAACGACCGCTGACAAGCATTTTTACACGATTGTGGACTCGCATTTTGCAAATAGGCGGGAATTTTATTCAGAACAGTGAAAAATAAACTATAAAACAAGTTAAAAATCAACGAAGAAGGCCATTTTTACTTCAGATGTCTACGTTAAACCAAAGTGTAACTGTTTGGCAATGATATATCATGTTTCTTCGTGTAATGGGCCCCACTCGTCTTCGAGAAATCTTCCCGTGCAAAAGTATATGTTGTTTTCGCCGAAAAACCAAAGCGATAGCGTTTGAAGAGTTTTATATATTGTCAGAAAACATTCACAGGGAAGATAGCGCGCGATTGAAAATCCCAGTTACAGTAAGCATTAATTTTTATTGTTGTTTTACTGAAAAATGTTGTTCCCTCTTATACAAGCGCCATTTTTAACTACGTTTTGAGAAGTTAACGATACCCTAAAGCACCGTTAACTTTAACTACGTTTTAACTACAGTTAACGCTAACCACTTTTTTATACAACCGAGTTAACTACGTGATTAAACTACGTGATTATTTAATTTTAACTACAAAATAGTGATTAAAAAAGTGATTAAGAGTTTTATACAACCGGCCTCTGCAGTGAATTGAGGGCCATTATCGCTAACCAGTTGTTCTGGTAACCCATTTCGAGCAAACACTGTTCGCAGGGCTTCAGCAGTATTGGAGGTGGTTGTTTTCGAGTGCATGGTTATTACCTCTGGCCATTTTGAATGAGAGTCAACAATCACTAAAAACATCATTCCAAGGAATGGTCCTGCAAAATCGACATGAATACGTTGCCAGGGGGTAGATGGCCGCTCCCATGGGTGTAATGGTGAGCATTTGGGGGCATGTTGAACCCGCTGGCAACCACTGCATCCTTTTGCTAGCCCTTCAATCTCCAAATCAATTCCTGGCCATCAAACGTAACTTCTAACCTGAGCATTCATTCTAACCACACCAACATGACTTTCGTGTAATACTTGTAGTACTTCGCTTCGTAACCTTGTGGGAATGACAACTCTGCTCCCCCACATAATACATCCTTACACGGTGCACAGTTAGTTCGTTTCTTCGAGAATAAAACGGTTGCAGGTTGGGGTCTTTATTTTCATGCCAGCCTTTCATGACATGCTCATACACTTGGGCGAGGGTAGAATCTCGTTGGGTTGCTTTGCGTACTTGCTGCCAAGTGACAGGCAACATGCTGAACTGTGACACATGAAATGCCTCAACCGGGTCAACAGACTGATTTTCTTCATCTTCAGTTGTTGCTAGAGGTAGACGGGACAACCCGTCTGCATTACAATGCTGTGTTGAACTACGGTGTTCAATTTCATAGTCAAACTATGAAAGGAATAATGCATATCGTTGGAGTCGAGCAGCAGTCGTTGCTGGTATAGCCTTGGTTGGACTGAAAATTTCTGTCAATGGTTTATGATCTGTTCGCAGGGTGAAATGTCGTGCAAATATGTAAGTATGGAATTTCTTCTCACCCCATACTAAAGTCAATGCTTTCTTATCTATCTGAGAATGTTTTTCAGTTTTTGTAAGGGACCTTGAAGCATAAGCCATTGGTCGTTCAGTATTATCACCCATGACTTGTGTTAAAACTGTCCCCAACCCATACGGAGATACAGCGCATTCTAACTTGATTGGGCGTTGAGGGTCATAATGTGCAAGGACTTCCTCGGATGCAATTAACTCCTTTGCTTTCAGAAAGGCTTGCTCACATTCCGAGGTCCATCTGTTCAACTCTTTCTCTATATGCAGTCCAGTCCAGCGTGTTTCATCAAATTCTTCTAGTTTGCCGATCGAATTCATCGCTTTATTTTGTGTCACTTCAGACGTAGACGCCATTTCTGTAACTTGAACCCATAATCAATTGTTTATAATCTTCGTCGCCAATATAGTGTTATTCGATATTGATTGTGTTCTTCGATATTGATTGTGTGCGATATTTATTGGGTCATACACCACAGTACATATGACATATCTAGCGTAAAACATTCGCGATACCTATCTTTATTGACGGATTATAACCTCTCAAATAACCTACTTGTGCTCTGCCGAAATTTGTAAAAACAAACAACGATTAAGAATGTTATATGACACAAAATATTATATTAATATTCTGTTAATTATTAACTTTGAGTATTTTAATGAAACTTAATTGTTTTAAAATGTTATATTAGATCTTATGTGAACGAAATGGAGCTGAAATACTTCGTTCGCAGAGCATTCTATCCCCTGTACTTTTGAGATATACAATGATTTTATGGCATATGGGGCCCAGACAATCACTTTCAGAAGTTGTTGGGACACATGTAGTTTTAGTTTGTAAGTGGATCATTACAGTTTTTTACACACAATACCGCTCCCCTCCATCTCCCCCCACCCCAATCAATGTTGCTTCAACCAAAACACATCAAACCTGACGAGAAATGGGACCAAACGTTGAACAGGGGGCGAAGGGGACTGAATGTCATAGAATGCGGAAGTGGTGTCTCTTCTGATCAAAATCACATAGGCATTCCCCCCCTCCCCCCAGCATCACAGAGGAGAAATAAGGTGACACTGACCCCTCGTCCTGTTTTTCAAGGTGACTTTTCCAATTTATTTAATTCCGAGTAGAAATGTCTGGGAAAATTTATGACTTCGATGTACTTTATAATCTTTGGAATTCTGCAAGATTTTACCCCCCAAAATAGGGGGGGAGGGGGGTCATGCCCCCGACCCCGCTAGACGGTCTCACGCCTTCGGCGTTCGCTTCGCCCACCAAAAATTAAGGTCTGACTACGCCACTGCTAGCTATACATGACACAAACCATAGGTTTCACATATTTCACGGCATGGTTTGCTTTAAAGACCCTGGCTGTGAGCATGTACATCATCTAACTGCACCTACATAAGTACATATACTTAAATACAATAGGGAACCCAGTTTGCAATATTGCACGGCATGGTCTACTTTCCAGACCCTGTGAAGATATAAGAAACCATTTACTAAATGAGATACAGGAAAATTACACAACACAAAATCACAAGCGACTGTGCAGGTCTTATCACCAATGCCTAATTTGCAATATCGCGGCATGATCAAATCCGATCCTGTGATAAATATGCATCATCAAATCACACCTATCTATTACCAAGTAATAACTTTACATACAGTACATGCTAGCTTCAATTACGATATTTCTCTAATGGATTGACATACAAAAGACACAAAACAGAGGTTACAGCGCACGCATTATACGCGTGCGCATAATATACAATATTTCACGGCATGGTCCACTTTCCAGACCCCGTTGAAAATATAACAAACCATTATATTAATAATGCTTATAAGTAAACCACTAACCAAAGGTGCAAGACGCATGTATATATATATATATAGAGGTTCTATTACCTATCCAAAAATTAAAATACTAAACTTTAAAGTTAATATTATTACTCCATTCAAGTTTGCTGGTTTTCTTTCATTTAGCAGATCCACAAGAAGTCGTTTCATGAAGACTGGGTGGCTTTGATCATGTTCAGGAATTAATTTGGTGCAGTTCATGTGATTCGCCGTTTACATTGGCATGAATTTGAGGATCGATCGATAAACGTCTTAGCACATCATTCAGTTGGATGTTTTCGTGAAATCGATCCTACAGGTTGTAGAGCTCCATTATCCCATTTGGAAGGTGTGACCTATCGCTAACAGAAGTGTGGGCTAAAGTATACTTCCATTCAAGTACTTCTGGAGTTTATCATCTTTTGCCAACGATGTTGTTGCGCGGAATGGAACCACTGTTCATTATTTGGATTAAAAAACTGGGTTCAATGTGGTTCACAAAAGTCGCCAAACGAGTTGGAATGTCAGAAATGTTTACTGTTGGTGGATGTCGTAACGATGTTAGTAAATCCTGAGGACCCTCGCTCTAACGACAAAGATAATTGCATAAAATAATGTTATGTGGACAGGCACCGGATGCCCAATCACCTAAAAAACAGCATCAGCAAATCGTCATTTTCATAATTTCACTAACGTTTAATCTCTCCAAAACACTACAAAGAGTGATTAATGAATACATGCTTGATCTCATCGAGATATGGAGACCACGCAATAATAAGGCATTCATATAAACATTTGTCATTTTCTCAGTGTAGTTTGTTTAATTATTATTAAAGAAAGAAAAATACTTTAAAATAAAGTAGGTTAAGTGGGTTATTGAATTGTACACTGATTAACATCGAGTTTATATTCACGAGAAGTTCCCCAGATCTTTGTGAATAATTATATATAATGTTCTGGTACGGTGAGTTTTTTTTTCCCTTAGGAACCCCACTGATTCGTGTTTGGTTGGACGAGAGCTTTGTTTAAACCCCATTGAACCACGCAGTTTATACGTTTACCTATAACAGAGATGAAAAGAGACGTATAATGATAATGTGGGAAAGATGCTTCCAAGCAGGATAGCGTGATCCATACACTTGGGATGTTGCTCGACTTTCGGAAAGCGTAAAAATACACTCGCCTGCGGCTCGAGTATTTTTACGCTTTCCGAAAGTCTCGCCATATCACTCGTGCATGGATTATGCAATCCTGGCGGAAAACCATTCGGTCTCTACTCTGTGATTCGGTATTCTTTTAATAACGTTAATTAATAAGAATGCAAGCGCTTTCATTGGTCGAGAGTCATGATCAATTAAAGGTCAGACGCACGGAATGACGTCACACAAAACCTTATCCAATAGCATTCCCTTATTTGTATAGATCATGTACGCGTGATATTTGTAAAAGTTCGACTTTTTCAAATTTCCAAATATTTAATAATATTAGTAGGACACATTGAAAATGAACCCCATTTTACACGTGAAGTAAGAGCTCCATCATTAAATTTGCATTGAGAAGAAATTATCCAAAATTCTTAAAATTGTAAGGTAAATGTGCTCAATGCAATTATTACTTATCAATTCAATTCAAATTCGTGATTATGATTGAAAATTGAAGAAACAAATGTTGTCATTTTTCGTCAAGATCAAGGGAGACTAAATAGTCCTCCTTTCAATGGACAAGGAGCCTGTTCAGGCCCCCTTTCCGTTTTTGAATTGTTGCTGCATGCTGTCACACGGAGAAAAAGTAAGTAAAATTAATTAAATAAGTATGCTTCTAGTTTCGGTTATTGAATGAAATTGCCTAAATTTCAGAAAGATTGATAAAATACACCCTTTCGATAATTACGTCACAACTACACTGTTTTCAACTTAGGACCACCTTAAATGGAAAGGATTTCAAGCTTTTTTCTCATAGGCTTTGCACAGAGAAGCAAAACATCCTTCAACGCATACATGAAAAAGGATTCTTTGTTTTGAGCAATAAATGTGGAAATAAGCTTTAACACGAAAACGAGGCTCCATGACCTGGAGCCCCGTGTTAATGCTTATTTCCACTTATTGATCAAAATCCAAAATTGTTTTTCGCGCATGTGTT